TGGCATCACAGCTCACAGCAACCTCGAACTCCTGGGCTCCAGCGAGTCTCCTGCCTCAGCCTCCCAAGTAGCTGGGACCACAGGTGCCCACCACAACACCCGGCTATTTTTTAGTTGCAGCTGTCATTGTTGTTTGGCGGCCTGGGCTGGATTCGAACCCACCACCTTAGGCGTATGTGGCTGGCTCCTTAGACACTTGAGCCACAGGTGCCGAGCCTGTTACATGGAACTTTATTCCTAGTGATGGAAGACAAGAAACTTAAGGCCTCTGACTATGGTTAAGCAGCACTTATTTGAGAATAACATTGATTTGGGGCATATGGTCTTCCCTCCCACCTAGTTTAGAGGTTTTCACAAATATAACAGCATTTTATCTCCTGTAGACCTCCCTACTTTTTCTTCTACCTATGTACTCTGACTTTACCTAACCAGTTGGCTTTACTGTAATCCAAAAGTAATGACAATTTTTGCTCTAGAGCTCAGCATAATTTCTCTAGGCATTGGAACAGATTTTATCACTGTTTTAATACATTGTTTTCAGACATAGGAATTGGCTGCATTACTGACTTCTGTGTTAGCAAATGTCATTGGCTGCTTGTAAGAGGTGCCTCTTCTAGAACTAGAATCAGTGTGTGATTCATGTCACAGTTGCCCTGCAAATATCATTATAGCCCTCTTTTTCTGGAGTCACCCAACATTATAGTTCTCCAGTCTTACACTTCACAAGGTGTGGTGGGGGTTTCTTTAGCCAAAAACTTCTTTTACAACACTCATTCCATGTCTCATGTTCTCTAACAGTTTATTCTAATAACTGAATTCCCTTCTCTAATCTAATAATATGTGGGCCACTCTCAAACCATGGTCTTGCCAAGAGGAAGGTTTCCTTGTTTAATATGTTAAAATAGCAAGTAGTTACTCTTTGGTTAGAAGCACACAAAAGATTTCTGAGAGATAAATTATTTCCTCTAACATCAGGCAGAGTAACCATACAGAGGCAAGTCACTGACTTCCTTGTGCATTAAGTTGATGGAGACCCTTAGTGTGACTCTTTATAAGTAACCTTTTATCAGAATATAGTGTGTGACAGAAACAAAGTATATTTTAGATGACTGCTTATTAACTGGTTAAATGATTTTGTTAAAAACCTAATTTAACACAAGAAAAGAAAACTTATAAAATAGGAAAAGATGTATACTTTTTTAATCATATTAAAAAGAAATTCTAATCAGAATGCATCATTATGTTTAGCATTTGTGCATTTGCAGTATTCCTAACAGATGTCATGCCCATTGCCATCATAAATGCTTGATACTTGAGATTCTAGAAATACCAACCACTATCATTTCTTTCTTTCTTTCTTTCTTTTTTTTGGAGACAGAACCTCAAGCTGTCCTCCTGGGTAGAGTGCTCTGGCATCACAGTTCACAGCAACCTCCAACTCCTGGGCTCAAGCGAGTCTCCTGCCTCTGCCCTCTGCCTCCCAAGTAGCTGGGACCACAGGCACCTGCCACCGTGCCTGGCTATTTTTTGGTTGCAGCTGTCGTTGTTTTTGGCAGGCCCGGGCTGGATTTGAACCCACCACCTTACGTGTATATGGCTGGTGCTTTAGCCACTTGAGCCACAGGCTACCACTATCATTTCGAAAGTGAAAAATATAACGTACTAATGTTGAAAAGGAGGGCAACATTTTTTTTTTCAAAAATAATGGTCATATAGTAAAGAAATGAGAAAATCACTAGAAATAAATTTCAACATGATGGTTTCTTATATTCAAATAATACCCTATAAATAAATTATTTATAATGGGTATAAAATGTATTAAGTAAACAGGAATTTATAATAGCAAGTAATGTTTAAAATTAGCTTGGAATAAGCCTAATAAGCACTTATGTGAGACCTATACAAAGACAACTGTAATTAAAGAAAAGGTGATCTAAATCAATACTAGCAACACTAAAATGACAAAATGTATTGAGGGCAGCACTTGTGGCTCAAAGGAGTGGGGTACCAGCCCCGGCCAAAAACTGCAAAAACAACAAGAAAATAAAACAATAGCTCTCTGTGGAGCTTGGAATTGAGTCGTTGAAAGAAATAGGGTAGGAGAATTTGTACTACTTGAGTTGTTCCTTTTTTAAAAAAGAGCAACATGTGTTACTTTCATGTTTTAAACAAGTAATAATAACAGTATCAGAGTTTAGGTTTGTATCAAAGCATAAAGATTATGTTACATGGATCTATTTTTTTTTT